GGGCTCGCTTTATTTTATCCCAATGTTTCCTGAAGTTTGGAAATGCTTGCTTACTCCAGTCACCCAATCTTATTCGACATTGCTCCAGCTTGTTTAGTGTGTCTAGTCCACCCGTCCTCAGGGCTCGCCCTGATGGTGTGCCAGCTGGCCCTCCGGCACAGGGTCTCCAAATTTTGGGGGCCTCCGGACATCCATTATGTATATGACTAATTATTATTACGGATAATTAGATTTTGAGTATAAATTTAAAATGATAATTATGAAATTATTTTTGATTCTGGGTCTAAAACGATGATAAAAAATTTAAGTATGAAGGTTAAAGGAACGAACGAATCACATGAGGCGAATACTTGTTTTTTATTACAATTTTTTCAAACCATATAACATAACTAATTTTTGTCGTGTTTCCTAAATTGAACAAAAGAGGTAATTGGTGATGCCTCATTATTATCATTCTTAAATTTGTTGCTTTAACTTGGTTCATTTTCAGCTTTCTAAGGGGAAAACAATTCAATTTTGTCAATTAATCTGCTCGTACTACCAAGGCAGTAATGCTGAATTAATTAAATGATTCGCATTGATTTATTAAACATTAACCAAAATAGTTAGGTACAAGCCACCAATAGTATAAAGGAAAAAATAACTAAATCAATTATAAATAGTTTGACATTATGTGATATGGCTAATTCTTGTTGTGAAGCTACATTTTTTAATTATTCAATGTATTTATAAATAAATTAATTTTAATCTTTTTGAAACTTGTCGATTGTTTTCCTAATGCAAGCAATATTTTATAGAATCTTATTAACTATACCCGTGACTGTTGCTACAGTAGGAAGAAGTTTTACGAAATTGAAGTTGTTGAAGTATTATATGCGCTCTACAATGACATAAGAGAGGCTTAACTGGTTAACTATGTTAGCAATTGAGAATAAATGTTTGAATGATGCAAAGATGGAAGAGCTAATAAATGATATTATTTTAAATAATATTAGATGGTTGTTACTTTTAAACAGTGATATATGATTTTATTCCTTTTGTAATCACTTTCTGAACATATGTATTTTTTCTTATAATTTAATAACTTTTAGGACTTTGCTACGGTGACATGCATGTCACGGTGACATGCACTTTTCGGTCGACCTAATATGTTGTTTCAGTGTAAAAACAGTTTCATGGTGCCTACTTTGAAGATTCATATATTACAATTGGCTAAATGGAAATTGGAGATTAAAGGCTTGTTTTGAAGCCGAAGTGTCCCTCTACACATTAAAGTACTTGGAAGCTCAATAGAAAGTCCAGAAGACCATTTTTGAACCTGACCAAAAGGTTATGCCAAAACTGGGAAACTACCTGAAAATGGCTAAGTCTGGCAACGTGTTTGTCAAGCCTACTTTGCAGCTCAATTTGAGAAGCATGGACGCAAGTCAAGTCCAGGGGCCTCTACCACGTTAAATTACGTATTTTATTATACAAAGTCAAGGCATTGGATGAAAGATTGAACATCTTTAAGACTTCAAACAAAAAGGCTCGAAGTTGCTACGAAGGCTGTTTTTCTGCCAGCTTGCTTGTGCTTGAAGTCTGCCAGAAAAACAGCCTTTGTAGCAACTTCGACCCTTTTGTTTGAAGCCTTATAGATATCCAATCTTTCATCCAGTGCCTTGAATTTGTATAAAAACATACCTAATTTAACGTGGTAGAAGCTCCTGGACTCGACTCGCATTCATGCTTCTCGAATTGAGCTCCAAAATAGGCTTCACAAACACGTTTCCAGACTTAGCCATTTCCAGGCAGTTTCCCAGTTTTGGCATAGCCTTTTGATGAGGTTCAAAAATGGTCTTCTGGACTTCCTATCAAGCTCTCTTCCACTTCAATATGTAGAGGGACACTCCAGCTTCAAAACAAGTCATTAGTCTTCAATTTCCATCTAACCAATTGTATGATATGAATATCCAAAGTAGACACCATGAACTGTTTTTACACTGAAACAACAGATTAGGTCGACCTGATCCTATATGAGGTCGACCGAATCCTAAATGAGGTCGACCAGATCCTATATGAGGTCGACCGAATTCTAAATGAGGTCGACCTAATCCTAACTGAGGTCGACCGGAAAGTGCAAGTCACCGTGACATGCATGTCACCGTAGGCACACCCTAACTTTTATTGTTAATAATTTTACGCGAAAAATTTTAGGGCCACATATTTTCGAACAGGGCCTCCGAATATCGTGGGCCAGCCCTACCCGTCCTCCAAGCATCTTCCACCACACGGGGGCAGTCTGCATGCCGAGTCCAAAATGAGTGTCAAATCTGAATGTAGGGATGTGCATTGCGCGGGTCAACCACTAGACCCATTCGGATCCACCTGATTATAACCCACCCATTACATGTTTGGGTGGATATGGTGGGTGGGTGTGGTCAACGTTTTTGCCACTCACTATACTTGGGTGGGTGGGTAGCAGGTGGATCATTTCCTGCAAAATCACATGATATGTTAAGTCGTTAATGCATATTCTATAATAAAACACTATTCTTTCTAATACCAAAACTTCAATCGTGATTGATTCAATTAAATTTCAATTATCTTGTATAAATTTTACTTGATTTACAACATAAAAAGCGGTCATTTTAATAATTGATAATTATCAACAAAATATTTTGTGTTCGCATATGAGATAATTGGTGTTAGATTATCTAGTAAAATATTTTTAATAGCTCTTAATTTTTACTTGATTCGTAGTATTGATATTCAATTAGTTTAATACAAACTTTTATGGCTCATAATTATCTAATTATTTAAAATAATTTGACCCACCAAAATTGCCAAACCCACCCACCATCCGTCGTCACCTACCCAATCCACCCACAACGATACAAATGGGTGGGTGTGGGTCATTTTTTCATCACCTACCATAACAATGGGTGGGTGGATTTTTTCCAAAAACCAACCTAACTCACCCATTGCCCATCCCTATCTGAATGACCAGCCCCAGCAGGGTCAATATCCTCGTCCCTTAGAGTATCACACAAAATAGGCATATGATCCGACCGAAGCTTATCGAGATGTAGAACCCTGGCTTTCGCAAAGGTACTTGACCATTGAGTCGAGGCCACAAATCGGTCTAGCCTTTCTTCAATCCAACCGCCTTGCCTTCTGGAATCATCCCACGTATAATTGTACCGTTGAAATACCAGATCAACCAAACCAGCCTCCACAAGACAGTCCCGAAAGGTTGCAATCTCTGCTTCCGAAGCTTCGTTACCACCCAACTTTTCTTCTATCGTGAGAACCTGGTTGAGATCACCCCCACATAACCATGCCCCTCCCACTACAGCTAGTCGATTAACGAGTTCCCATGTCTGTCACTTTTCACTCCCCTCCGGCCAGCCATAGACACAAAAAAAAAAAAAGCCAAGTACCATACTTGTCTTCCTGAATTTTAAGATCGATGTGACGAAGAGAGATAGACATAACAATGGCGTGAATTCCTTCCCTAAAACATACGCTCACACCTCCTGTTCGATTTCATTGTGATATCACCGCTGAGAAACTACCACCATGCTTGAAACCAATTTCTTGTTGAGTGATTTTGTTCTCCGCTTCCGTTTGTTTAGTCTCCATAAGAAAGACTATGTGTTTTAAATTGTTTAATAGAATTGGCTAAATTTGCCAAACCGGTTTCAAAATTTGGACCTTTTGTCAATTTATAAAAAATTGACTATTATTTTTATAAAGCCGATAGTTATGCTATGCAAGTGAATTTAGTTAATTCCAACTGACAATATTTTTTTATTAAGTGTTGTCAAGTCAGCAAAAGCGTTAGTCTAGTCAGAATATAAAATGACTCCATTGAAATTATGGACGAAATTGGACATTTATGTATTTATAAAAAATTAGTTAGGACTTTGCTACGGTGAATTGCAAGTCATTGTAATTTTCACTTTTCGGTTGACCTCATTTAGGATTAGGTCGACCTATTCTATTGTTTGTGTAAAAAAAGTTTCATGGTGTCTACTTTGGAGATTCATATCTTACAATTGGCTCGATGGAAATTGAAGATTAATGGCTTGGTTTGAAGATGGAGTGACCCTCTATACATTGAAGTACTTGGAAGCTCGATAGGAAGTTCAGAAGACCATTTTTGAACCTGATCAAAAGGCTATACCAAAACTGGAAAACTGCATGAAAATGGCTTATGGGAACATATTTGTGAAGCCTACTTTGGAGCTCTATTCGAGAAGCATGGATGAGAGGCGAGCCCAAGGGCATCTACCACATGAAAGTATGTATGTTTTTCTACAAAGGCAAGACAATGGATGAAATATTGGATATCTAGAAGGCTTCAAACAAAAAGCTCGAAGTTGCTACGAAGGTTGTTTTTCTGGCAACTTGGTTGTGCTAGAAGGCAGCTTACTTTGTAGCAACTTTGAGCCTTTTGTTTGAAGCCTTCCAGATATCCAATCTTTCATCCATTGCCTTGCCTTTGTAGAAAAACAAACATACTTTCATGTGGTAGAGGCCCCTGGGCTCGCCTCTCATCCATGCTTCTCGAATTGAGCTCTAGAGTAGACTTCACAAATACGTTGACATACTTAGCCATTTTCAGGCAGTTTCCCAGTTTTGGCATAGCCTTTTGATCAGGTTCAAAAATGGTCTTCTGGACTTCCTATCGAGCTCCCAAGTACTTCAATGTATAGAGGGACACTCCAGCTTCAAAACAAGTCATTAATCTCCAATTTCCATCAAGCCAATTGTAATATATGAATATTCAAAGTAGACACCATGAAACTGTTTTTAAACAAACAATAAATTAGGTCGACCTAATTCTAAATAAGGTAGACCGAAAAGTGCAAGTTACAATGACTTGCAAGACAACATAGGCGATGGCGCGGAGTATGTTTGGGCTTGACTCCTCTATCCCAATCCCTCTTTTAATTAATGATTGTGGGCTAAGGATTGTAGAATAGGCCTAATTGTCTCTCAATTGGAACCTCTAAGGCCCCAGTCAACCTTTCTTCTACCTTCCGAGCCGGGACGTCGGTTCTCGTTCTAACTTTCACTTTGCTTCAGGCTTCTGAGTTCTGAGCTCGCTCACATGACTTACTTGGACGAAGAAACCGCCGGGAAAATCCTCCGGCAGGTGGAATTCTACTTCAGCGACAGCAATCTGCCGCGGGACGATTTCCTCCGGAAAACTGTTTCCCGGAGTAAAGATGGCAGTATCCTTTCTCTACTCAATTTGTACCCAATGCACTCACTCACTCAACTACTAGTATTGTACTCCCGTCTTAGTTCGATTTCTCTCGGCTGTTTGTCTCTTGACTGTTTGTAACCAATTCTTTAGTGGTTAGCTTGGCTCTCATTTGCTCCTTCTCTAGACTCCGTGGCTACCTTGGATTGGGGAAAACGATGACAAAAGATGAAATCCCTGATAAGGTTTTGAACTCCGTTGCTGAAATTCTGCGTGGGTCGGAGTTTCTGAAAGTTTCTGATGATGGGAGGAAGGTGGGTAGGCTAGCTAAGCTGGTGAGGCCAAACCAAGTGATGAAGCAAGTGGACATCAGGACAATTGCAGCATCGCCTTTTGAATACGATGTTAAGATGGAAGATGTGGAATCTTTCTTTTCTCAGTTTGGTAAGGTATGCAAACTGATTAAGCTCTTTAACTTGTTCATGGTCAATTTGTCTGCTTCCCCTTGTTGTACTATAGCTTAGTTTTTTGAAGAATTATGTGGAGAAACTCATCCACAGGCTACAATGTGGTTGTGAAACCATGAATGCTGAGTTACGTTCAGTTGAAGATAGGGCTGCAAACGAGCCGAGTCGAGTCGAGTTTTTGCTTAGCTTGAGCTCGGCTCGTTTATTAATTTTTCAGCTCGAGCTCGGCTCGAACTCGAATTTTGATAATCCAGCTCGAGCTCGAGCTCGGCTTGAATAGAAATAATCTAGCTCGAGCTCGACTCGGTAGAGCTCGATAAATGCTCATTAACATAGCTTGTTAAGCTGAGTACAAGCTCGGCTCAAGATGAGCTCGATTTAAAATCATTTTTGCTGGAAAAATGTATAAACATAAGAATTTAAATGATAGAAAGAACACTAGAAACTAGAAATAACATCTAAATTTCATACACATCTGTATTATAAGACAATGTTCATGTTTAAAAGAGTAATTCATCCTTCCACAAGCTCAAAACAAGGCAGCTCGCGAGCTTAGCTCGACAAGCCACCGAATCAAGCTAGCTCGCGAGCTTATCAAGCTGAGCATGGTCTAGCTCAGGCTTGGCTCGTTAACTAACGAGTTGGCTCGCGAGCCGGCTTGTTAAATAACGAGTCGAGTGTCGAACGAGTTTTTTCCGATTCGAACGCCGAGTTGCTCGCGAGCGGCTTGGCTCATTTGCAGCCCTAGTTGAAGACTCGTCTGTCGTCTCATCATTGTAGTCTTTTCCAAAGATCAGCAGTGTCATTACCTTACTCTCTTTTCTACCTAAAATGTTTGATAGGTCAATAGTGTAAGGCTACCTCGTCATCCGATGGACATGAAGGTGTTCTCTGGCACTGCTTTGGTAGAGTTCTCCATGGATGGAATTACTGAAGAAGTCCTGAAGAAAAGTTTAGTTTACGCTGGAGCTTGTTTAGATCTGAAACCGAAGTAAGCGTGGTTCTTATGCTTAAGCTTCAAGAGTTGATGTTTTTTTTTTCTTTCTGAATCACTTTAGTTCTCCAAGAAGCTAGTTAGGGATACCTACTTCTAAAAGGGGATAAGAGTAATTATACTAAGGAACTGTTATTAGCTAATTCTCCGTGATTCATCGGTTAACCTCCATTTATCTGTTTCTCTTTGGATGTTGGAGAAGGTTATTAAGTTGAAGGATGATGTATGGTCTCCCAAGTGTTTGCTTTGCGGGATTGAGAATTCCAGTTCCTTTTTTGAGATAGCTGTGAATTCTTTGATTTCCCATGGATTTGATATTTTATTGCCTAAGATTATCACTTTTATAAGAATTCGAAGTATTTTTTTCTCACTTGGTTCTCTAATTTCTTTTCAGAAAAGAATATGACCATGAGAGAGTAAAATTGGAGGAAATAGCGAAACACAGTTCTTCTATTGCCTCAACTCACAAGGACTCCCCTGGCACAAAATCCGAGTTTGTTCTGCAGAGCTACTTCATTTGTTGAATGTGCTTGAATCTTTTCGGTCAACTGATTTTTCTTTTTTTGTGTTTGTTTCTGTTCAATTGCTAACAGATATCCTAAGGGGCTAATTGTTTCATTCTCATTGAAGAGGGTGCCACTTGCAAAACCTATGCATGGAGCAGATGACGAGCCTGTAACTGATGCTGCAGATGTTCGTAAAAAGAAGAAGAAAAAGAGTTCAAAATTCAGAGACAGTGGTGTTTTGGAAACTCAGGATAATCCTTCTTTAATTGCTGAAGCACATTCAGAAGACACAAAGGAAATAAGTGAAGATAACAAACAGTCTGACTTTAAAGATATAGCAGTTACCGAAAAGATTGCTGTGGAAATCCCCATTAAGGAGAGGGATGATTTCTTCCAAGGAGAGAATGCTGTCCATTGTGGAGACCTAAAGCAAGTCTTTCAAAGATTTGGTGCTGTTAAGGTGACATTTTGGTTATTAAAATAACTTTTGATTCTCTTAAAATTCATCTGAAATTATCTCTAGCTAGAAAATTCTCACTACTTTTCTCACTTGGATTGATAAATTCTAAAAATATTAACTGTTTCATTCTCTCTTCCAGCAAGTAAATTATGTTCAGGGTGGTGATTCTGGATTTATTCACTTTGAAGAACCAGAGGCCACCATAAAAGCTTGTGCAGCTGCAGAATTTATTGGAGGCCTCCATGTCAAGCATTTCATCGCTTCCTTAAGAGTTCTCCCTGGTAGGAAAAGACTCTTTAACTTATTCCTTATAATAGCATACACATCCTTTGTGCGAATACTTTCAGTACATCTGGTTAATATGTACTGGTCTTGGATTTATTAGTTAATTCTTATGTGTCCCTCTTTAAGGTCCTAAGAAGTAAGACCTTTCTTGTTTAGCACTCCGCTATCCATGGACAATCTGTGAATAGAACATCCTCGAACTATTTATGGGCATCTAGAGAGCTTTTGGAGTGCTGGAATATGTATTAAACCGTTTTTATATGACCTGATTACCACCATTCACGGTGGAATTTACTCTGCGTTTGAATTATGGGTCGTTTTTTTACAGGCAAGGGTGAAATGGAAGAGTCAAATATGCTTGAACATGAGAAGGAAGGTCACAGGAAAAGTTCGACGAGGTACTTCTACACATATTCTTCTCCATTGCATTGAAAGTGGTTTCTCTTTTTTTCCTTCTCTTCATTAGATGTATAGTACCGTGATTATGTGTCTTGCCTGCAGGAAACGAAGGTTTGACGAAGGTAAAGAATGCTGAGAGATGGAAGTTCCCACCGTGGTAAGAGGAATATTGTAAGTAGTTTATGACAGGGTCAGAATGGGTAGTACCAGTAGGTTTGTTTGACATTGTAGTTGCTGTTCGCACAGCCAATATCTGTATGGGCGTTTGCAAAAGTAAGGTATTTTGAAATGAGGGAGTTCAAAGCATGATTGCTGGCTTTCTTTCGCCACAGCTTCGTGTGCTTGAACTCTTTCTACCGGATTTTTGTTTACCCTGCCTTGATGAGCATTACTCTCTTCTGTTATTGGGGTGTTATGGAGTCAAAATAGGAGATAATGTGTGGCTTAACAAGCTGCTTAAAGTGTCCATGAACCAATCTGGCGGTCCGCCGCCTCCAGGATGATGGTGGTGCTTATTGTTAATTTTCTTTTTACATCCTTAATACTCCCAGAATTGATCTCCTCACAGCTGACCTCAAACTTTCTTGAAACAATCTCTACTCTGATTGCGGCTTGTATTGTATTTGTAGGCCCTCATGCTTAGTTGATGCATGTGTATGGCAAGCATTGCTCGGTATCTGAGAGTCGTGGTACCATCGAGAATTTTGTCTCGAGTTCTATCATTGTAGTGAGCAGTTGGATTCAAAGTGAATCTGGTTCTTGTATTGATCAGTCTCACTCTCTCATCTACGGATCTACCTTTCTTCAAATAACCTTATTTGACGAGCTATGTTCGACCCATAAACAACATTATTATAACTCAGAAAGCAAACACATCCCTCAAATTTAGAGGTGGCAATTTCAATCCAATCCACCAATCCAATCCATCAATCCATTAAAAATATCCACCTAATTCAATCCATTTAAATCCAATCCATTTTATCCAAAATCCAATCCATTTTATCCAAATCCAATTGGATTGGTGGATTCATGGATTGGATCCATGGATCATTGGCAAATTACGTTTAGTACCTATAATTTTTATTTTTTACATTTTGGTACCTAAAACTTATTTTTTTATGCGGAAAATATCATTGAAAAATTACATTTTGGTACCTAAAATTTTTCATTATGACATTTTAGTACCTAAACTTTTTACATTTTACATATTGGTCATTGGTTGAGGATGTCATTTGGATTCATGGATAATCCACCAATCCACTTGATCCAATCCATTAGATCCAATCCATTTGATCCATGAATCCACCAATCCAATCCATTTGCCACCGCTACTCAAATTTCATCTTTATAGAGCCTCTTGGGCGGTATCATCCAATAAGCCAACTGCATCATAGAGGACTTGCTTCAGCTCGCTGAGCCAATGTTGCACCTGATGATTCAATCCAACAGTCGAGATTCGAGGGTTGTTTCCCCATCTAAGGAGCCCGTCTACGGATCTCACACTTTGTCGAATCAAGATATGTATGGGACCGACTGAACATGTTGTATAATTGCACTGCCGCTGCTTCTTCCCGATAGATTGAGATCGTCCATTATATTTTGGATTTGTAGACAAAGATTGATCAGGGAAAAAAACTTAGAAACTTAAACGGGGATGTCGAGATGAAGATTCGCCTGTGAAATATTTCTTTTTTGGTTAATTTTGTTTTAGGGTTTAACTAAGAAGTGGCTTGAGAGGCCGGAGATGAAGAAGGCAAACTACCGCGGAGAGGAGGAAGTCGTCGGCTTGATAGGAAGATGACAAACAAACACAAGGTAGCTACCGCTCTGCTCATTTGTCCACCGCAAAGAGTCGAGCAATCAGAGATCCAGTTGAGTCTCGTCAGCGATTACAAATAAATAGTTGTTTATTGCCCATGTTTGATTCTTTGTTATTTCTATTTTCCGCTTTTTAGGGATCGTTTGGAAGTTGAGATTGTTAGAGTTGTGTTTGTTGAATACATGTATTATGCACAATACAATATTTGGAAGTGCCAAAGTGTAAAATAATGCATGCATTGTTTTGGGTAGGTCCCACCAACAATTACAAAAAATGATGCATTATACAATCTCAACTAAAAGTTGAGATTGCTGTGATTGTTGCTTTTAGATTTGTGTTAACTTTTCTTTCTATTTATATCCCTAATAGTTTTTGTCTTATACTAAAAGTTGAAGATAAATATGACATTTCCCCATAAAAGTAACTTGTAAATCAATGCATAAATTAGAATCTCAACAACCAACATTGTATTGTTAAAATGCATCCATTATATCAATAAATGCATTTATATTATGGTGATTCATTACAATGCAACAATTTAACATTCATAACATTCACAACTTCCAAACGACCAGTATATACGTTTGCTTGTTTTTAACACCCTCTTTTGCATATCTTTTGGTTTTTGATTTCCCTCTTGGTGTTCCAATTTGTTGACTAATTGTTTACTGTACCCAACGGACTCTGTGTTTGGTTCCTTCTTATTTCAATGTTGTCTTATTTTCTCTGTATTTCATTTTTGTTCTATTTTCTTGATGTTTCATTTTGTTATGTTATTTTTTCCTCTTCTATCCTAGTTGTTTTCAGACAGCTCCAAGCCTCCTTCCACCTTTGCTCCACTAGCACTGATCCGGGTCTAATTGTACACTTTTTATCCTCGAATTTCTTAGGCATTTGAGACATTTGCACTTCGAGAGGTTTCGTTTTACGCTAGGTTTTGCCTTGTTTTGGTGTGTTTCAAAGTCAAGCATGTGGAACCAGCCCGGGAGTCGAAAGTTGGACGAAAAGACGCAAAATCGGGTCAACGGATGGAGACAGCTGCAGATCACGGCAGAAGCAGAGAGTTCATGGTCAGACAAACCGTGAATTGAAGCCAGAGACCGTGAAGATCCATGCGTCAATAGCCATTTTCGTTCTCACTGGACTCAAGTCAGTTCACGATCGTAAGACTGTGAACCCAAACTAGAGACCGTGAAGAGCCTAATTGATGCAGTGCATTTTTGCTCCAGATCACGATCCCCGCCCGATGTTCACGGTCGTGAACTGGGACCGTGAATCGAGCTCGACCTGGGTATAAAAGAGGCTTGAGTTGAAGGAAGGAAGAAAGAGGGGAGACCTAGTGTGAGAAACTTCTTCTTCTTCAGATTTCTAGAAGGAGAAAGTGAAGAACCAAAAAAGAGAAGAAGTTAGGATTTCATCTTTAAGCAATGTTTTAGGAATTCCTTCCCCAAATGAGGATCTCTTCAACACAAGGAGCAAGGCTAGCATCTCTATGATGGTTTTCCTTCTTCTCTCTTGTGTTTTCCCTTCTTCTAGCATGGAGTAGTCCCTTATTTCACTTGGGTGTTTGTAAACCATACCTACAATTATGTGAATGTTTGTACGAGTTGAATGATTTGTGTGTGGATGTGTTCTAATATGAATTTGGAGGTATTTTCATGGAAGATTGTGTAGTGTGTTTGCCTATCAATCTATTTGTCATTCTAACCTAGGTAGAGAGAAAAAACCCCTTTCTTTGAAAGAGGCTTGTAAAGCTGGGCTTTCTTAGGGTTGTAAGACACAAATTTGAGTAGATTATTGAGACTTCGATTATTTTAAAAACCCTTTGTTCATAGAGTTTTTACTCTTGAATTTTGTCCTTGTTTGTTGGTGGATTTCCAGCATTCGAGCGAGCTCTGTATCAATCAAGTACCCACCTTGATTGTGGTCGAGTTGCTACCCAATTATATTGTTTGAGCCTATTCCCTATTTTGTATTGAAGTTTCATGTCCATTCCGCCCTATCCTTTACTTATCGAGTGGTCGAGAGAAATATCAGAAAACAGTATAAAGATTGAAGCTGTGTGAATTTGACAAAAAAATCTAAGCTTTCACGAGCTCTGGATTCGTATCAACTGGGCTTCAAAGAGGAAGGTGGCCGAATTCGGCTCACACATTTCCTACTTTGTGTCGACTCTTCGCGTGCTCGTGAGGTGGGCTTGAGCTTGCTCTATGCTATTTCTAACCTGGTGGGAGGCTGGACTGGGCTTCGGAGCAAAACGTGGCCTAGTCCGGCTGACACGTTTCATGCTTCTTGTCATCTTTCTGCCTGCTTGTAAAGAGGGGTTGGGCTTGCTCCATGTCAGTCCTTGCCTGTTGGGAGGCTGGAATGGGATTCAGAGTAGAACTAACCGAGTTTGAGTTACACATTTCACGCCCCATGTCGACTCTCCGCTTGCTCGGGAGGCAGGGTCGAGCTTGCTCTGTGCTAGTCTTGACCTGCTGGGACGCTGGATGGGCTTTGGAGCGGAACGTGGCTGAGTCCAGTTGACATATTTCACGCCCCGTGCTAACTCTCCTCCTGTTCGTGAGGCAGTTTCGGGCTTGCTACATAGCATTCCTGACTTGCTGGGAGGCCGAACTGAGTTTCGAAGCTGAACGTGCCGAATCTAGCTTACACATTTTACGTACCATGTCGATTCTCCGTCGGCTTGTGAGACTGGATTGGGCTTGCTCCTTGATGAACATATTTTGTGAGACAATTTGTAAAAAGCTAGATGGTCATTCATTCATCTTTACCCTTCAAAAAGACGTTAAGGGCAGAAACATTAAGGGCTTACAAAAAGAGTGGTGAAAAATGACCATCTTTGCTGCGCTGATTTTCTCAATTCATCCTTGCATAGTACTTTCTGAGATGGAGTGCATTCCATGTTTTGTTAGCGTTTCATCCCCCATTGTGGAAAAACCAAAAGTACTGGGAACAATGCGGCTGGTGGCGAGATATTGTCTTTCCCATGTGACACGTGTTTTCCGTGGCCTTCTTCCTTTTCTTGTGGGATTTGACCAAGATATTGTACACCTTGGCTACCCTTTCTCATTCAAAGATCATCTTCAGCAGTGCGACCTCCCTTCTCTCTTCTATGAGGTTGAGTTGGCTAAGAAGATGCACCTTCTTGCCAGCCTCTTGGTATGCTCAGATCTATAGAGTGAGTAGGCTAACTTCAACTGACCACATTAGCTTTATAGACTTAAGCGAATGAAGTCTCTCATGTGGCCTCCTTGTATGTGGTCCCTGTGTGCCAGAAGTATGTGGGGCAACTCAGAGGTCCATGCCCCTTTGACTTCTTTGAGAGTCCTTTTAAGCTACACAGATCACCTTGTATGTGGATTCTACCTACCCGTTGACTTGGGGGACAACTATTGACGTCATGCTGAACTTGACGCAGTGTTGTGTACATAAGTCTTTGAAAGGTCTTTAATCAAATTTCACCACGTGGTCTGCAATTATCGAGTGGGGGACACCGAAGCGAATTAACACGTTCTTACATAGGAACTTTTGAACTTTGGCACTAATGAATATTGAGTTATCCGATTTTCCTTTTTGCCTGACCCTATCTTTGAAATTCTAAGTTGAACATCTGAATATTGATGTTAATTAAGTAATAAGAATGTGGGTTTTCACTAACTGTTGGATCCAAGTACGACTTGTCATTTTGATATAATGTTATATGTTATTACTCATATGTTAGATGAGATTTGATATACTTGATAAATGTATGAACAATATAGTGACTTTTTTCATATATCCAAAAATTGGGTTAAAACGGTCAAACCATTAACCCTCAACCCACTTGTTCGGCCTAAATTTTTGGGCTAAACCGGTTTCATTCTTGTAACGTCACTTCTTGGTTGACATCTGTCTGCTAAAAATTATTTGTTTCCAAAATAACAAAAACAAACTAATAGATTGACGTCATTTCCTCAAAAACATGCACCCCACGTTCCATCATCACCCCCTCCACCACCATACATCACTATGTTGCCCATAACAAAAAAAACAAAAAAAACAAAAAAATTTGAAGACAAAAATCAAAACATCAACAAGACCAAAAGACAACTCCCACATTCAAAGAATCATTAACCAAAAACAAATAGAAAAGAAGAATTTTCACATAAACAATAGAAACCTATCAATCATCCCCTCCACGAACTTTCATTTTCAAAGAATCCTTCTTGGGAGGGTTTTCTACTTTTCTTGGGCTTCATTTCCTCAACCATTGTCATCAAATTCAATCTAGAAACCTTCCCCAAGTCAAGATTGTTAATGCCCGTATATATAAGCCTTCCCCATAGGCTTCTAACACTTTTTCCCCCTAGTAAATTACATTAGCATGTCTCTTCTTCAGGTTGTACTTGTGGGGTTAAATTATGATGATGCGCCATGATGGTTCAAGAGCAAGAACACAACAGCCACATCCATGGTTTAAGGTCAAGATTGTTCACTCATATTAAGGGCATCCACGTCCATGACCATTCATCCTTAGCTGCTGCAAGGCATCATCATTCTAGCAGCTTCACCGACGTCGATGAAATCGAAACCACCAATGATTTAGAGGAGCAGAATGAAGTAGCAACCATAAACCAGCTCCAGCCAACATCAACAGAAAGCACCCAAATTTCATTGAAGATCGATTCCGTAAACAGTATGGATTCCAAATCAACACCTCCTGGAACCATGGAAAAGAATGCAGGTAACATTTTTTATTTTTATTTTTTTATCATGTTTTCATTTCATTCTAAAACCCTTCGGAATCAGAGAGACATAGAGCTGAATTTGTATGTTCGAGGTGCAGAGATGGAGCAAATGAAAGAGAAGTTCGCGAAATTGCTTCTGGGAGAAGATATGTCTGGTGGAGGAAAAGGGGTTTCTTCTGCACTTGCATTGTCGAATGCCATCACAAATCTTGCAGGTAACGTTTAATGATCAACGTCTTCAAAGGCTTAGAGAAGCATATAAAATAAGTCATATGGTTGTTGAGAAGGATGATTCCCAATGTTTGCAGCTTCGGTTTTTGGAGAACAGTGGCGGCTAGAGCCAATGTCTCCCCAGAGGAAAGCAAGGTGGAGGAGAGAAATTGGGTGGTTGTTATCTGTAACAGACCATATAGTTGAATTCGTTGCCAAAAAGCAGGGCAACATTGAGGTAAGAAAAAAACACAAACAAGCAAACAACCATGCATTTCCCTGTCTTTAAATACCATGATGAACTACCATTCATATCTGAAACTTTATCTGGGTTTCGACAGATTATGGTTACACAACAACGAAACGATCTTCATTTGAACATCCCGGCTTTAAGAAAGCTCGACGGAATGCTGATTGTAAGAACATGATAAACACAGTCTTAAACTTTATATCAGGCTGTTTCAGAGATTAAATGTGTTGGCCAAATGGGGTTTTTTTTTCTTTCAGGATTGCCTTGACAACTTCAAGGACCAAAGTGAGTTTACTTACGTCTCAAGAGATGCACCAGACTCGGAGAAAGGGCCAAAGAGAAAAGAAGAGAAATGGTGGCTACCAACTGCTAAAGTTCCCACCAATGGCCTATCAGAAACGGCAAGAAAGTTTCTGCAGTACCAGAAGGATTGTGTGAACCAAGTCCTCAAAGCAGCAATGGCAATCAATGCTCAGGTTCTTGCAGAAATGCAGATTCCTGAAAACTACATCGAATCCCTCCCCAAGGTGATATAAGTTACATTTCTCCATTTACTGGACTTACTGGATGAATTGGTTGTCAACACTAATGATGCATTGCATCGCGCGCGTAATTTTGATTATTGCAGAATGGTAGAGCTAGCTTAGGAGACTCGATCTACAAAAGTATAACAGTCGAGTTCTTCGATCCTGACCAGTTTTTGTCGACCATGGACCTATCGTCGGAGCACAAAATCCTGGACCTCAAGAACAGGATTGAGGCTTCCATTGTGATTTGGAAGAGGAAGATGGTCCAGAAAGATGGTAAATCAGGATGGGGTTCTGCTGTCAGCATAGAGAAAAGAGAGCAGTTTGAAGATAGAGCTGAAACTATCCTCCTCATCATCAAACAAAGGTTCCCTGGGATCCCTCAGTCTTCATTAGAGATCAGCAAGATTCAATACAACAGGGTAAGAACTCACTAAGCAAATGTCTTTCAGGAAGGAAGGCTAAGTGTTTCTGTAAGCAGTTTGTTAGCCCAAAACTAACTGAAGGGGACATGTTTTTGGATCTGGACTTAACAGGATGTAGGGCATGCTATCTTGGAGAGTTACTCAAGGATCCTAGAAAGCTTGGCGTACACTGTTCTATCACGTATCGAAGACGTACTATATGCTGATCAAGTAGCCAGAAGTCCAACACAAGATGGGAAGAAGAGAAGTCCATTGATATCAGGGACACCACCTTTGGAGGATAGAGACAGGACATCTGTGGATGCACCCTCGGCAATGACACTGTCGGACTTCATGGGCTGGGAAGGCGAGCATAATGACAACGACGAGGACTTGGTAGAAGCTACAGAGGAGATAACGAAACAAGACTCGAAGCTATCGGGGATACTTAATAGTGTAGTGACGAGAAAGACATATCTTGATAACTTGGTGGGTTCGAGAAGCCCAACATCAAGGCATTAAGAAGATGGAAACACCAGAAAAGTAAGACCATGGTGGAAAAATAGGAGAGAAAAAACCCTAACAGAGAAAGATGAACTTTCTACTGTCATTTTTTAGTTTACTACTATGTCATTTTTGTGAGCTCTGTACATAGGTAGAGTATGAAATGTAAGAGTTTAAAACCTATGCTCTACTGCCATTCTTTTCGCTTGTTACTAGAGATCAACATTCAGTTAGTATGTTAAGTTTGTTCATCTCTTTTTTCTGATTCGCGGTTTGTAATTATACTTGCTCATTTGCAGCTTATCTTACAAACCCTTATCAGAATGGAATGGAAGAACAGGCTGCGATCACATCTGGAACGAATGTATTTGAGATTGTAATTGACATTGAAAGCATATTTTTTGGACAAACTTGCACAATTCACCTAAAGAGGATACACACACATAGATGGATAGATACATACAATGAAGTTAGATTTTGCCGCGAGGACCAAGCTTTGGTGGAAGCTGAGGGCCCTTAACTATAGGCAGAATATCGCCAGAAACTGTAGAACCCAAGTAAGCAATGGTGGAACCACCTCCCAGTATCAAGAACTTGAGCAACAATCCTCTCTTGGTGAATGGAGCAGCGAACGTCTCGAAGAACTTGCTCTGAATGTTCCATCGAAACGAAACAAATAGTAAGTCAACAACACGAACTCCTACTAAGGGAAGAAACCATGATTTTGCTGAGCAGTAATCTAATCAAGCATCATGTTGACAACAACTCTCAGTGAATTACGTGACATTAGAATGTCAACAAGCATTTGGATACGATGAAATCCTATATTAAGAAATACATTAGTCATGGGAAAGCATTATCTGAAGGAATTGGTGACAATATCTATTGCCAATGCTACAGAATCATGTAACTAGTACATCCTGGCAAATATCTGGCATTCAAATGATGGTCAACTATCAAACAAAGAGGGGGTGAGAGTGGATGGATGTCATGGTTGTATGTACAAAGGAACAATAAAGTGTTTGTTGCCACCAACTACCCTAATTATACACAATTCTATGCTCTACATGAAACTACTATGATTCCATACAGAAAAATACCCGTCTATTATCTTCTTCCAAGTATACAATTTCTGAATTAAAAATATTAATAACCTTCATAGCTCAGTTGGTTAGAGCACCCATTTAGTAAGCGGGAGTTAGTTCTTGAGTTCAACTCTTAATAAAAACAATTAATTTATAAAATATATTCATATGAAATAATTTTTAATTTATATACACAGTTCAACTCTCAATTATATTTATAGATATGCATGTTCAATTTTTTTTTTTTTATATTAATGTATATACATGTTCAAAATATTGTTAGAGTAAGTAATGGACAAACCTGAAGAGGATTGTAAGGAGAAGGAGCGTCAGAGCCATACAAATCCCACTGTCCAGTGGTGTTCCCCAAATCCTCCAAATCAAAATACACACTCTTGTCACCATACTTTGCCACCACACCACCACTCCTGCAACAATGAATTCCCCAAAACCCCATACAATTTACCTCTATATATTATACTTAACATCACACCCTGCAGCAGATGATGTACCTGGAGGTTTTGGTTCTGAAGCTCTGGCGAGAAGGCTTCACTTGGAGCTTGGTTCCACACAGGGAGCTGCCTCCCAATCCCTTGACGCTGGCGGCTGCTGGTTGCACGGCAGCAAACGTTGCTAGAGAAGCCATGGCCTTTCCTTGCTCTGCTCCTTTCTGTTTCTTCTGTTCGTTCCGCTTTCAACGTCTACTTTGGCTTCATGAATTGGTGGCTATTCTATATTTTGATTGTTTTCGCCAAGGATCAGAGATGGACACGTGGCACAATGGGTCTTCTTCAGAGAGATTTTGGGTACTCATTCTTGTGGCTCCAGCGTGGATAAGGCTATCCAGTTGGTCGATCTAAAATAATATATTCCCTCCCATTTTCTGTTTGCTATCGATTTCAAGTCTACAGTTAGGGATGGCAATGGGTCGGGTTTTGCCAAACCCAAACCCAAACCCATGGGTTTATTCGTGAAAAAACCCGGGGTAAAATCTATTGGGTTTGAAAAACTCAAACCCAACCCAACCCGCTGGGTATCCGCGGGTTCATGGGTACCCACGGGTTTTTGTCGTAAAAAATTTACAATAACATGTTCCTATCAAAATTAAAGTCAAATATCAATCTCTCAATACAAATTATCCATATTTAAAACACTATTCTAGAAAATTCAAGCAAATCACAAATTAACTATACAAATTGTTCAACTCAATCTAGAAAAATCAAGAAAATTGAAGTAAATCATAAATTATCCATAAATAACATATTAATTGAAGGCTTCTTCCTTTCAATTAAGTTTCTTCACTCTCCACTCGATAACACAAACTTCATTTTATACAATTAGAAAGAAAAAATTAGACATGTCTCCACAAACATAAATAAGATTAGTTGTTTAAAATATTAAATATATCGAGAAAATTAATTATATGTGTGGGCGGGTACCCACGGGTCGGGTTTACCTAAACCCAAACCCAACCCAACCCGGTGAATAGTGAACGGGTTTAAACCCAAACCCAACCCAAAACCCGTCAACACGGATTTTACCCGCGTTGACCGGGTTGGATCGGGTGGGTACCCGTGGGTTCGGGTTTGGTTGCCATCCCTATCTACAGTGTCGTTTGTATCGGGTTTCTGTAACTTACACTATCTCCAACAATGAATTGGAAAAATACTAGAATGCCAAATAGTTTTGGCTCCAAAAGTGGTTTTTGCTATAATTAAGGGTGTCAGTTGGTCAGTTTCGGTCTAACCGAAAAATAATTTCTCGATTATCGGTTAAACCAAACCGTCCCCTATTACTGTCGACCACCGACCATGAGGGAAGCCACGAGTAGCCGACCATCAACCGGTCGGTTTTTGGTTTTGATCGGTTATAACCGCGATTAACCGACCCACCCCACGTTTATCAGGAAAAAAAAAACAACCACACCCACGTTTTCTTCTCTCCTCTATTACCTAACAATAAAAAATAAAAAAGAAAGAGGAGGAAGACCACACGTTTTGTTCTCTTCTCTCTTATCTTCTTCTTCTATCCTCTCTTTTCCCTCAAGAACATGGTTGTCACGTCGGCCGGCGTGCCACTGGTTGAACCTGGTTCAACCTATACCGGTCATAAAATCGGTATGACACCACTAGTATGACCCGCATGATCGATATATGAATTTTTAAGTAAAATGATCTTATATTAGTGAATTTATTTGATAAAAAGTAATTTTTTATTTATTTTATGTGTTAAAAAGTTAAATGTTGATGTTATTTGTTGGATTCAAGTACAAATATTTAGGTATTAACGTTAAATGTCGTGCTTAAATATGAGTATTTGTAAATTATTTGTAATATTAACCGGCATGAACCGGTACAAACCAGTATGTACCACTGGTGGAACCATTCCATCTGCTAAACCGGCACACTGGTACAAACCGGTTTGACAACCTTGCTCAAGAATAAAAAAAAATCAAAACTTCTCTCCTCTCTCTGCCTCAGCTAGACTGCTACCTCAAGTCTCTTCTTCTTCTCTCCTCTCTCTACTACCTTAGTGAAGAAGGAGGAGGAGCGGCATCGGTCAGAGGCGAGCTGCTTCGGCCGGAGATGGACGAATCGCGGTCGGAGGCGACGATGGTGGTGGTTGGTGGAAGAGCAGAGGCGGTGAAGGCTAAGATGACGGAAGTCGAGGCGGGACAAGCGCGGCGGCGAAGGAGGACGAGCAATGGCCGATGATCTGGTCTCGGAAGAGGAGCGTCGCAGGGAGATCTGAAGAGGAGAGGCGCGGCGCGGGGAGAGAATGGAAGGGAAGATTTCTTATTTTTGGAATTACGTTTTTCTATGTGGTTGGGGATTAGTGTTTTTGGGGGTGTGGCTTGGGAAATTTGGTTTTGGGGTGGAGGTCGGTTAGCTACGGTTAGTCGGATAACCGCGATAACCGCCTTCGGTTACTCGGCTAACCGCAACCAATCGCTCCCTCTCCGAACACCGAACGTCCTTGTTTTCTGTCGGTTTTTGGTTAGCCGCTAACCGGCTATTTTCGGTCAAACCGGCCTGTTAGCCACTTACCGGAAACCGAACTGCCACCCCTAGCTCCAACAAGCAATGTCAAATTATCAAAATGCCAAAACTTCTTTTTGTGTGAGAATCTAGTTTAGTGTAGATTTCATCATTTGAATTAGATAGTTTGTAGATTATTTGGATCATGGATTTATTGAATCCATAAATTTAGCAAAATGTTATGTTTTTTTTCTACTTTTTGTATCGTGGATGGTAGCTTTAGAGATTTTAAATCTCTAAAATCTAGAGATATCAAATCTCTCATAATTAGAGAGATTCTACATCCTGATTGTGGAGATTTTCTCCCGCCTACTATATCTCTTATTTATTTTTTTCATTTATCCTACTAAATAATCTTACCAATAAATTCTCAATATTTTTCGAGTCAATCTAATTATTTTTGTTAAGGATAAACATGTTATTTGGAAGAAAAAAAATAGAATTTCATTTTTCATCTGATGTTAACAATCGTAGTTACCAAACAATGAACATTTTCAAATCCTTTTTCAACAATCCAGAGAGTTAAAATCTTTGGATTGTCTAGAATCTAGAGATTTAGACTCCAATTCTCTATCTTCTCCTCTAATAATATAATAAATAAATCCTCTTCTCCCCGCAACTTTCGGGGATTCTTTTTTTCATTTTAAGTTTTTGGTAGTTTTTCTCCCTTTCTTCACCCCGTCTTTAGTTAATGTGAATTTAGGAACGCGTACTCAAAATTGAGTAAACACGATGACTACCAAAATTTATGCCCTTTATTATCTCTATTTTACCCTAATTTTAATTTGACGGTAAAGATTAGGTTAAGGGTAATTTTGAGAATAAAAAAAATACCACACCTGATTTTTATCCTTTAAAAAACAATTTTTATATATTATTTACCTAAACCCTACTCCAACCCTATTCTCTATCGCCGTCAACACCTTCCCAAAGTCGGCCACCCTCGGCCAACCTCCCACTGTCGGCGGCCACCCTCCACTCCGGCTACCCTCGCCCACCGCTGCTGGCACCCTCCCGCTACCCTTTCTCTCAAAGATCCTAGATCTGATTTTCCCCCCGCGTTGGTAGTGATTTTTTCGTAGTGGTAGTGTTTTTTCGCATTAGTATTATTTTTTTCGCATTGGTAGTGATTTTTCCGTAGTGGTAGTGTTGTTTCGCATTGATATAGTTTTTTCCGCATTGATATTGATTATCATGCAAGTGTATTGCTTTTTTGTGAAATGGTAGTTTTCTTTTTCTGTAATATTAGTGTTTTCGCATTGGTATTGTTCTTTTTTTTTTTTGCATTGGTATTGATTATCATGTAATGGTATTAATTTGCATGTATTGATATTGATTAAATCTGTAATGGTATTGGTATTTTGTGAAATTGCAGTGTTTTTTTTCTCGACTAGTATTGGTGTTTTATGCATTAGTAGAGTTTTTTTTAATGGTTTGGTATTGTTTTATTGTTGCAACGGTATTAGTTCGGCTGAACGAAAACAAAGAAAAGATTGAGAAAAGGAAAGAAGATAGATCCGGTTGGAGATTGTGGAAGTGAGAGAGAGAGTGAAAATTGTAATTAATATATTTTTATAACTTCCTAAAATGTAATTTGTTAAAAAGATAATTAATAATTTTTTCATACCCTGTTTGCCCTTAGTAATCACCGTAGCCTATCCCTGTGAATTTATATGTTTTTTTTTGTTTTATCCGTTCCTAGTAATTATTGTAACACCCTAACCCGTCCAGGTACTACGTTTACTCAAATACCCTTATTAAACTGTTAACCAAAATAAGAAACTAAAAGGACTTGGAAAAATGGTGGAATAAATATCCTTCATAAAATACCTTGAAATTCAAATAGCAGTTTCTTGAAACATGCATAAGCGAAAATCATAAATATCTTTAATAAATGCGCATCAAGTCTCAATCCTACTAAGTACATGCGAATTGAATTTCACATATTGAGTGTTCTCTTAAACCGTGAACCTTGTCTTGATCTATCCGCCTTCCCTAAGTGAGATGCTGGTAATCCTACGATTCCTGAGTGCAGGCGTTGGGGTCAGTTCTAATCCTAATTCCATTCTTTACATAAAATTATCCAACATGCATAATGCGTGCAAATGCTCATGCACTAAATTATATTTACTTGACTTTAAATAATTTCAGGAAAAGATTTTCATGATAAGGGGGCCCCAAACTCAACCTAAATAGCGCAACCGTACGACCACCCTAACTCCCTTTATCGATCAATTAAAGATTGAAACTATAAGCTAGGTAACCTAGTTCTTTTAACCGTTCGGCTAAGGATTGCAATTAAAAGCTAAGAAATCTAGTCCTCTTAATTGATCAAATAAGGATTGGAAGAACCGATCCCTCAGAAGTTAATCCAGACGGCGGATAGAGACCAATCATGAAGGAATCATAGCGTTAATCTGATATTTGAGGCTTGTCCTCATTTTCCTAGGTGGGTGACACAAATTGGCCAAGAAATTCAGCTTCCCAAAGCCTCTAACAATAAGGGGATTCTCTCCACCTAGATCAAAATGACCCAATAATGAGTTAAACTAGCAATACTCAATCATTCATCTAGACAAGGGTTCACAATACCCAAGTGAGAGGGAGTACTACTCCATAGCTAGGCAAGGAAATACAACTAAGATGAAAGAAGAAAACCATGGTGTGGTGACTATACTCCTTCCTTGTTTCTTGAATCACCTTTGACAGAAAAAAGCCTTCAATCCTCTAGTTTAGGGCAAGCCCAAATCTCTTTCTTCATTTTGTTCTTCACTTTCTCTCTCTTAACAAGAAGAAGATCTCTCTTTCTCTCAGTAGAATTCCTCCCTTTTTAGGATTTTTTTATAACACCTAAAATAGGCGTTATTTGGCCCTTATTATCACCGTGTCTAGGCCACATATCAAGTTATTCATACCTATTTTCGTTCCAATTTGCAAAACATGCATTTTTCATAGGTATTCTCGATATAAAGATTTTCATAGGGGAACCGACCCCACTTTGTCATATTTTATGCTTATCAAGTATTTGTGATGAAATCCCGGTTCTTATATGCATTTGGGATTGATCGGGAATCGATTGTAGTTCATCCGAGCATGATTGGGTAGCATAGGAGCAAGAAGCGAAGAAATGGCATAGGTCACGGCTGTGACCAGTCCGTGACCATGTTTGTGGCCTTGAAGATCGCGGTCGTGAATAGTGCCTAGAACTTCAGAAGGCAACCGTCAAGGGCAAAAAGTTTTGACACCCAAGTCGCAGTCTTGGTGCTTTTCGCCCGCGAAAAAGATCATGCTTGTGACACTAAAGATCGCGGTCGTGATCTCGTGAAGGAGGCCGCGATCTAGAAACTTAAAAATGAGACAAAACGCGTCATTTTGGGCGATTCAAAAACATTCCAGCTGGCCACGGCCAGTTCACGACTGTGACTATCGGGTTATGCCCTCGTGGCCATGACCACTACCAGCAACCTATAATATAAATACTCCCTTTTCTGCAATTGACAAGGGAGAGCCGACCTAGAGTGAGAAAGTTAGGATTTTGGAATTTTTTAGAGGAGGAAACACATTGGGAGAGCTTAATTAAAGATCCAATCCACCCAATGAGCAAGAAGAAGGTGCAACCAAGGAGAAGAAGATTGATTCCATCACCCCCTCCCCCCTTCTAGTTTGTGTTTCTTTCTCTCTCTATGACTTGAATCTCTAATGGTTGTTTAGCGAAAACGAACCCAAGTTTATAGGTTGTGTATGTATGGGTTTTGAATGAATGTGTTTGTCTAGTTGATTTTAATGCTTCATCTACTCTAATTGTGCTTGGGTAAGTCGCCCCTTCTCTACTAGCCTATTTGAGTTTCTACACTTGGTATGGAGTTTTAGGGTTAGACTGGTATGCACGATCGGAAAATTAGGGTTAGATGAATGAATAGGGTCTTATGGACGAGGCAACCAAACCCCTGCCACAAGAACGCATTTCTAGATGGAACCTAGAATGAAAACCTCGATGTGTTCAGTGGGTAGTACCCATTGAAATGAGTTAGATTATTAAAGCCCAAGATACAAGAGCCTATATAGAGGTGACAATGGGGTAGGTAGGGCATACTTGAAAGCGTGTGGATAATCATGAAGGCACACGGAATAGAGCTCACTCACCACATTCACTTAACCCAACATGACAACAATAGCTAGGAGGATTTGACTCTAGGAAATCATCTCATTTCTAGAGGTCTCCCAACCACTTAGTTGGTTGTTTATTTTTCCTTTAGGAGTAGGTTAGATTATTCACCCAAGCCTTTGATTCGATTAAGTATTAGTTCGGAGTGAAATATTAGTAAGCTTATGGTTCACTAGAATACGACCGAGCCACTTTACTACAACCCTAGATAGGTTATACTTGGCTAGTTAGGATTGAATAGAGAGTGTGCATCGACTTATAAATTTAAAGTCCGATCACGCAAGAGGATCAGTTTTAAGCTGGAACCCTAGAAGGGTACCCAGAAAATCTAAAACTCAACCAAGTTCCATCCCCTTTCTCTCTCTCCCAACTAGGGCTGTTAATGAACCAAACTATTCGCGAACGACTCGGTCTCAAACTCGATAAAAACTTGTTTGATTTAAAAAAAGCTCGATTCATTTATTAACGAGCCGAGCTTGAGCTCAACCTTGTTCGGCTCGTGAACTAGCTCGATTAGGTGGCTTGTTGAGTTCGACTAATGAACTATCCAATTTTGAACTCATGAGATGTCTCAACATTGTAATTGGCGAGCCAACTTGATTACGACTTATGAGAAAATTGATTTGTATCTTATGAGTTGATTTGTTAATGACACATATATTTATTAAATTGTATATCACACCGCATGGGATGTTTAATAATTTGAGTATGTGAACAAAGTATGCCCTGTATATGACATAAATATTAGGTATTTAATTCATAAATTATCTTAGAGTTGAGCTCGAGCCAAAATTTTGATCTTAATGACAGTCAAGATTCAATAAATGAGCTGGCTCGTGTTCGACTCAACTCAGCTCGTTTATAAACAAGCCAAGCTCGAGTTAGGCTCATTTATAAATGAACCAAACCTGAACAAGGCAAAGCTCGGTTCATCTCGGCTTATTAACATCCCTACTCCCAACTGCCTTCTATTTATACAGCCCGACAATCACTATCACGATCAGAATATACGACCGTGACATTGAAGCTACAACCATGACAATGGAGCCAAACGCGGGAGATTGCTGCCGTTTCTATCCATGATTGTCGCTATAGATTAGAGAAGGACTATTTATATTAGTTAGTGGCAATTTACCACTTAACCCCTCAACTATCTATTGTGCTATTCTATCTGGTCTGTATCTTCTAATTCATTACAATCGAATCCAGATCATTACACAAGCCAACAAGGTCTCTTCCAAGACAGGAGAGGACATTGAGGGGTCGTTTGGATGGAGTATTTGTATGAGTTATTTGGATTCAAATAATTCACAATGAGTTATTTGGACGCAAATAACTTGTTAGGCAGCGTTTTACTGAAATGAGTTATTTGGACAGTGAGTTATTTACAAATAACTAAAAACGAGTTATTTGAAATAACTTATGCCCATGTGTTATTTCGAAATAACTCGTTTTATCACTCTGCTTTTACCAAATACCACATGTCAAATACCACATTTGTATGATTCAACCAAACGAGATACTTTATTTCAATTACCACTGAAATAACACTGAAATATCACATGAACAATAAATGAGTTATTTGACTCTACAAATACCACATTGACAATTAACCCATCCAAACCAAAGGTTTCGTCCAGGAAGAACTTGAATGACCATGGCGAGCGATTAGGTGTTATCTTGTGTGCAGTTTCTTCAGTTTGGTTGCCGGTCTCTCCTCACCTGCTGTTGGGTTTCTTACGCAATGAAGCACGTAGAAATTATTATTCACTAATAATAAACTTTTCTAAACACAGTGGGAAATCATGTCAAATGAGGTTCCTGTGTAATAGATTGCCAATCTTGCCAAAGGAAAAGACAGATATGGAATGGAGTAACTATACAGGCAAGTTGCTTCAAAATTTTATAAAAACCCAACTGTCATGTCTTTCTCCTAGTGGTAAAGAATTTCTGATACGCAAATTATGATTGTGAGATGATAAAAGCCAACGATACCACATGGAGGCAGCTCTACAAATGCCTACGAATTTACCACAATACACAGTTGACATTCCCAGCATGCAATCCGTGATTACTGGATGTGATTTGAGCAACATAACAATATTACCTTCTGGATTCTCCATACTCCCTGATGGAATCGAATCAAGGCCACAGGCGATCGCTTCTATGGAAGATAAAGGATCAGAAGGAGGATCTTTACTCACAATTGCATTCCAAATCCTGACTAGTACATCTCCAACGGCCAAGCTTTCAGTGGAACCTGTGGAGTCAGCTAATGCGCTCATATCCTGCCAGTTGGGGGACATGCAGACAAGCTTGGAATGTTAATAAAGTTTAGTACTTCAGTTTTGCTGAATAGGTAGTTCGATCAGTACAGAGAGATAGAATCTATTTGACCCTACTGGTCAAGCAAAAAGAGACAGTATAACCTATGGTTAATATATGATCATGTATATCTTGTTGTAGAGGGTGTTCAGTCAGCTAACTGTTTTCCATAGGGCGGAAATGGCGTGTTAAGGGCAGGACCTTTTTTCAGAGGCATAACGTCAAACATCTGGCAGGCATCATGAGCATTGAACAAACGCTTAACCAAACCCATGCAATTTCAATCAAACTGAAGCCCACAATGACAAAATCAACCAATTATGCAAACCCATCACATCACAAAACACATTCCATTCCAATGACATAGAATCAACAGTAATATCACAGCCTCATCGTATCATCAGAATTACACAAAGGAATTAGCTTACAACACAAGAGAAAAAGGAAAATCAGTTCAGCCGCAATACTAAGCCCGTAGTTCCTGTTGCTGCGACTCCAAGGGAATCCCAAGGTCGGAGGAACTACCCTCTTCGCCGCCTTCTTCTTTCTTCTCCTTCTTCACCTTGACAGGCAACGGCACGGCGAGGAATGTCTTGGTCTTGCTAATGGGCCGGCTCTTCTCGAGCTGCACGAAATCGCCAATTTGGAACTGGTTGTCCGGGTCGTGGGCTTGGAACTTCTTCTTCTTCCGGACCCTTCTCTTGTACTTGGGATGCGGGGCGAGACGAGTGACCTCCACCGCCACCGTCTTGTCGCCGGAGGAGGCGACGACCCGGCCCTGCATCGACCTCATTGCCCGGATTGGGAGGACGAATGTGGAGGGCTTTGATGGAGGGAGTGATGGAGCGGATCTGGAGAAGCGGGAGAGAGGAGTAGAGCCATGGAGAAAAGGGGTAGAGATGGTGAGCGAATTGAGAGAAGATGTGAGCGACATTGCTCTGTTTGCATTGCTTTACAGATGAAGCCTTTATCTCTCCGTAGTTCTTATTTTGAGGAAGGGCCAAGGGGATAAGGTGAGGGTCAGGACTCAGGTTGGACCGTCGGAGGCTTCGTTGTCCAAACCGGACGGACCAATAGGTGATCCGGTTAGGATGATTCATTTAGTTAAACCAGACCGAACCGTTCATTAATACCATATGGCGTCAATGGTTGCTTTCGATTTGGATATTTTTTTTCTATAGAACCACTATATTTTCATTAATGGGCTGAAAATCAAGGCCGTCCCATGATATTTGGAGGCTCGGTTCGAAAATTTAAAATGTGGCCCTAATTTTTTTCCCCATAAATTTATTAAAATTAAAAATTAGTAAATAATTGTAAAAAATACTTAAGTTCAGAAAAAGATTACATCAGGAATAAACGATCTCGTTTCGAGTTTGACCAAGAAACCAAGACCGAATTCCCAGCCCTAGTAGGGAGGAAAGTAAATCTGGAAGGAAGAGAAAATGGATACAGCGGAAAAATTGAATGGAGAAATGAAAATAGTCTACATTGATCGAGAGGTGGGTGCAGGGTTGTCTACTAGATCGTGGAGGCCCTATTTCAAAATCTAGACGTGGTCCAAATCGACATTTAACTATAATAAAACTAAAATGATCTTAATAACATTATTCAAAATGTAATATCTTTCTATATTGTTTAAATTAAAATTATCTATTATTTTTCAGATTTTCTTATTCTCCATGAGATCATTTTCAATTGTTATTATAGCTAAAATTATCTATTAAACACATCATCATACTCATAATCAATCAATCATACACTAAAAATTGTAACATCCCGTTTCGGCTAAAATCGTATTTCGATCGCTAGAAAGTTCGCGATTTAAAATCGAGCATTTCGACACTATTTCGGCAAAAATCGGATTATCGATCGATCGGATAAGTATACGTATTAATTATATATATATTTTTAAGCGGCGGGTATAAATACTCACCCGTGGCCATTCTTTCCATTATCATCATCTTTTCTTCTTCCATTTCCGAGCGAGAGAAACAGAGAAGCAGAGGCAGCTCGGCTAGAAGTTTCAAAGCTCAATTCTTGAGCTCTGTTCATCCAAAAATCCCGTAAGTAATGCCTAATTCATCCATACATCATGATTTATCGATTTAGAGCTTTAAAACGAGTTTTTGGTTCAGGAATTTCTTGAATTCCCGATAAGCCAAATTAGGGTTTCGGAGTATCCGGAAGCCGGATTGAGCCCAAATTTCATATACGAGCTTCCTGCCGCGAGGTAATCAATCCCCTAGTTCTAATCCCTGAATTTCGGCTATTATTTAGATCGGAGCCGGGATCGCTGAATTTAGCTCCGGCCAGGGTTTGATGTGTTTTTATCGAGAATTTGACCCGGAGCCCAGAACTAATATCGACGGGGATACTGCAGGGGATATTAGGACGGTCTCGGATTTTAATTCAGGGTTCGTTCGTGAAATTGACGTTTTAGTACGGGAAGCTTAAACCGGTGTTTGAACGACCAGAACTGGTGAGGGATTAGCACGGCATACCGGGTTTGTCGTATCACGATAATTATATTAATGCTTAGAATTGACCTAGGTGAACTAGAATGGCATGATTAGGGGTGTATGGACTTTTGTGCTATATGATGAGCCCTGGACTGTTGTATGATATTATTGACTTGCCCTAATCGATATGAACCTTGTTTATGTGGATGATTGCATACATGTTGCCATTTGTGGCTTAACTATTGATATGACTTCATGGTTGTTCGATAAGGGGTTTTGACATGGTGTGATATTATGGTTGTATTTGGATCCATAAGTGGGGGAATAAACTTCCCAGGGTGATATTATGATGTTTTAAGGAGGATGACTTGCACGAGGGTTTATCCCGAGGAAGTGCAATTATACGACTCCTGGTTTACCTATGTTGAGCCAATTATGGTCAGGTCAAGTACATGTGTAAGTAATGAATTATGATTAAGCAAGATGAGATACGAATCATGTACAAGGATACCAAATATGAGTGTTGTGGTCTCACGGTCAACTACATAGTAATTAGGGCTCCCTATGCTATTACTCTATTATGATATGTATGATAGTCACACCTCTCATGTGGTGGTGACTGAAGAATTCTTTCGAGATATGACCACACCCAGAGCGGTGTCGGGGTATGACTACACCCATAGTGGTGTGGGGTATGTATGACCACATCCGACGGGATGTTGGGGTATGTATGACTACATCCGACGGGATGTGGGGTATGTTTCCCGAGAGAGTTATTAGCATGGGAGTAGCCAGGCGCCTATGATTATAACATGATAAGATGCATATGCATAAGTCAAAGTGGTTGAGTCTTTTGCTTATTGGGATATGAGGATGGCTGAGGTCCGATCCTAGTGTTTTGGCTTGTCTGCTAGATGTATGGTAGGGGTATGCTCTGTTATGAACTCACTATGCTATGATTATCTCACTCAGCTATGAGCTGACCCTCTTTTATTCTTCTTCTCTGCTTATGCTATGTGTAAGTAGATCATCAGCAACAGCAGTAGATAGGTGTATAGGTGGGAGCTGAGCAAGAGTTGAAGGCAAGATGAGGTATGGTCTTCAACCATTCTGTGCTTGGACTACTACTCGGGATTTTGGCCAGTGATCCACACCTTTTTGTAAAAATGTTTTGAGAACGTTTTTCATGTGCATACTAGCTTCTGATCTAGTGTGAGATATCCACAGGTGTGGAAAGTTAATGATATGTGTATATGTTGTGTAACTGTGTAAATTGTGACGATTATGGTATGTATAAGTATGGTATGCAGTTAGGAAGTATGAAAAGTGTGACTATGGCTAAGAAAAGCCAATGCATATGGTTGTGAGTATATATGTTTGTGATGAATTATTTTGCAGGTTAAGTTGCAAGAACTGTTAGCCCATTACGCGAGTAATTCATGTCGAAATTTTATTTAGGTAAATTTTGATAATTAATGTAACACCCGAGATTATTTCCGCTGCAATTGTATGAACAATATGATTAGGCAAAACGTATAGGGTAGGGTGTTACAAAAATACAACCTACAATATATGATCGGTAACTAACGAATCTAAGTAGAGGCCCCTAATATTCTGAGGCCCTGTTCCGGAGGGCGAGCCAGCACACCCTCTTGGCCAGCCCTGCTGAAAATATTAGAGGAATCCAACTTGAGTTGGAGAATTAAGAAAATGGGGGCTTCAAAATCCAAGTATCTTGTTGATCCCAGAGACAAAGTAGGGTGGGCAACGGAACAGGACTGGGTATAGTCCCGTTTGGAATGGGTGCCCAGTACCATTTGGAGAGGAAATTTTATCTCTTGTACTAAACTCGTATGTGTTAACGGGTACCCATCACCTGTACGGGACGGATAACGGATATCCACGAATAACCCATAAATTCAGGTGATTTTCTATATTTGAGCTTTTTCTCTAGTAGAGAGCTTGACAGCATAAATCCAAAAGAAGATCGTGAAGCACTTCGCTGGGGATGCAATCAAACACAAGAGACTGATAAACCACTTGCAGTTCTGCCCCTGTCGATGTTCAAAATTTTTGTTAGAATTGTGTAAACTTTGTTTATTTAATGTTGAAAGTTGTATTCTTTATTTATGTATAAGTTGATCGTTCCCCCAAAGTTCGGGAGGAAACGTTGGAAGGGAAATGTGACCTACCCACTTGTAGTGGAGTCGACTGTTGGAAATACACCTAAAAGTTGGGCGCATATAATTTTGGTGGGCGGATAGTACGGGTTCCCGTAATACCCAAACGGGTACTAATCTGTGGGTATCCATTGTAGAATTTTTTTTTATCCCAAATTTCATCTCGTAAAAAAAATTATGAGTATTTGGATATCTATAACCTAAAAAACGGGACGGGTATGAGTATATCCAAATATCTGTTTCCGTTGCCCACCTTAAGACAAAAAGTATGAGCCATTAGGTGAGTCGCAGCATTGCTGGCCTTACTCGAAAAAAGAGAAAATGAAACAACCCAATCCCGACGCCAAATCTCAGAGTTCGTGCCTCCATCTTTGTCATTTCTTCCTAGTAGAGGTATGGGATTGCCATCTAGCTATCCTACTCCAGCTCTGCCATCCGGAAGCCAAATTCTTTCGCCATCTTCAATTCAGAGCGGATTGAAAAGATCTGCCAAAAGCGGAGTCCACCGAACCCTGGTACGCTTCACTATTGCCAGGCAAAAACGATTTTCCCTATTCCTCACCACAACCCAAAAACCAGTTCCTTGACCTTCAAAATAGGTTGCATCGACAATGATTTTAAACTCCATCATCTCCGACAACTTCCATCGGTACTGTCTCTTTAGCGAAAGCCCCTTGATCACTTGTTGATATTGCAGGTACTCCTAAAGAAATTTCTCTACTCTATCATGATTTCCCACTCTGAGAGAAACTTTGTAAGGGTTTTGGAAGGGTTTAGCCTTAGCAGTGAATGAGCATGTACGTCATCAGGATGTGTGGTATTTGGATACTGCCGTTGATTATCATATGTGTCCAAGAAGGGAGTGTTTTTCAACTTATGAGCAGATAGATGGAGGACATGTTTCTATGGCTAATGGTGCTATCTGTAAGATTGTTGGAAGAGGCTCCGTCAGGATGAGGACACATGATAGTTCTGTTCGCACCTTGAACAATGTTAGGCATATTCCAGAGATGACTAAGAATCTGATATCTTTGAGTCTACTCGACAACAAGGGTTTCAGTTTCAAAGGTGAAGGTGGAGTGTTGTCTATCTACAAGGGTTCTAAGGTGATTTTGAAAGGTGTCAAACAGGGTGCCTCGTATAATCTACAAGGTTCTGTTTTGACATGTTCTGTTGGTGATAAGTGCACCAAGTTGGTTTTGAATGGTAAGTCTCAACATGGGTTGGATTTGCCGAATGGTTTGAGTTGTTGACAACCCTTAGGAGCATTTGGAGGCAGAGGAGATTCTGGTACAACTGATTTGGAGGAGTTTGGTACATCTGGCAACTTTGGTTGCGTCTGGTACATCTGGTATTTGAGAGAGAATTCACGTCAAGGTGGAGATTGTCAGAATATGACTTGAATTTGATTTGGGTTTGTTTTGTGTTTGGGCATATTTTGTTTGGGTTTGTGTTTGAGCTTTGTTTGACTTTTTCCTTGTATGTTGGAGAAAAGGTGTTTGGTTTTCTGTTTGGGATTAGGAGAAGCGTTCTATAAATACTCTTCATCACCGTAGTCTATAGCAAGGTCAGTCATATTAGTTTTTTTGGTTTGTCCATTTGGAATTTGGTTTGTAACCTGTACTCTCCTCAAAATCAGTGAAATTTGTTCTCCCTTGTCCGTGGATTAGCTAGCACACATTGTGTTATTGAACTACGTTAAATTTGTGTTCATTCGTGTTGGTTTGGATTATCGATTGCACGCTTCTGTTCTGACACAACTGATTATATTGTCTCCAAAATGTGTTTATTGCATTGAAATCTATTTTCTCACCGTTTGAAATTTGAAACAGTCGCGACGGATAATTAAAATTCATCGTTGAAACCCACATTTAGCGACGAAATTTTAATTGTCGCCGAATATTTCGTCGCTAAAAGTCTCATTCTTATACGGTTAGCAAACGATATCGAACTTTTTAACCATTTCTTCATTCAAAATTTTCAAACCAAATATGGTGCTAATGTGAAATACACATGATTTTGTGTTGTTTTTATTGATATGATTATCTAGATTGTGTTGGTTGTCCATAATAAGAGAGAGTTTGAACATCTTAAATCTTAAATTTCTTAGACTAGAGTCTTCACTTTATGTAGATATATTTGGTTAATATGTTTATGTAGATATATTTGGTTAATATGCAAAAAATCTTTATACTGGATCGCGAATTTGAATTTTTCAGATGCGATATATATTAAGTAATGCTATGCTCGCATTGAAATAGGAATTTAGATTTATTTAATAAATTTGACACTCTTTAAACAAAGTAAAATATCATACAGAATTCTATAAATTATCGGGCGATCTATTTGACATCTACCAGATTCGTAAATCGATTTTTTTCTTAATAAACCCACAAAATCCCCTCATCATTAACAATCCCTATCCCCAAGTAGGAAGCAAACCCAAAAAGAAAATCCAAGACACCACGACCCTATTAAACCCATTCACTTCACTCATCAAAAGACTGCACATATAAAACCAGAAGAGCACTAGTGTGAAAAATTGCAACTCCACAACCCAACAAATTATTGGTTATAGAGGTTTTGTTGCTCGGACAAACCACATCCGATCCCCAGCAATCCTGCCATTCTTCTTCTTCTTCTATTTCTTTGTTTGGTAGAGATGGAAATGTATCAGAATGGCAGCACCGAAACGACGCCGTTCAGGGTCCTCGTGGTGGATGATGACCGCATCCTCCGCAAGATGCACAAGATGATGCTGACAAGACTAGGGATCGAAGTGGAAGTGGCTGTGAATGGGAAGGAAGCCGTCGACCTTCACCTTGCTGGGGCTTCTTTCCATCTCGTGCTCATGGACCTGCAAATGCCTGTCATGGATGGCTCACAGGTATATGTCTCTCGATCTTCTCTCCATGTTTATAAACACAATTAGTTGCATTTTGATTCATAAGAACAAAAAAATGGTGGATTCATGTGTACGTAGGCTACAAAGGAGTTGCGAGGCATGGGAGTGACGAGCCCAATTGTGGGCGTGACGGCGGCTTGCGCTGAGAAGGCAGCATTTCTGGCCTCTGGATTGACAGATTGCGTTTCCAAGCCACTCACAATCAGCAAGATAGCGAACTATCTTCCGGCTCCCAGCAACCATACCAATAACTAAGCTTAATTAGCTAGATATAGCTTTTCTTTAAGTTACTCATTTGATGTCTCCTATTAACTGATAACAGCGGCCCTTAATTAAGATTGTTGTGAACAGTTTGTTTTGGTATTCTCGGTACTGGAAATGGAAACACCTCTTTAGTGCATGCATATGGTGGTACGTAACTTTCCTGTTCACAGTATCTAGACCAATAATTAGCTAGATCTCAGCTGAAATCTGCATTGGATCGGTTATTATATTGATTCCGTACGTGACTAATCACGAATTGAATATATAAATTTTGGAGTTATAAACTTGGGTCATTTAGCAATTTAGTCCGTTGGTCCGATCGAGCAAGTGGGTTGAGTGTAATGGCCTGATCGCTTTAGTCGTATTTAGGTCAGATATATGAAAAGTTGTTCAAACATTTATAAACTATATCATATTTCATCTAACATATGAGTAATAAATAACATATAACAGTACACCAAAATAATTGGTCATGATTGGATCCAACATATAGTGAAAATTCACACATGCTTATATAATATTAATATTCAAAAGTTCAAAATTATAATTCCTAATATATGGTTAATTAGGCGGAGAGGTAAACCAAAAAAAGAGACGCATTTCGCAAACCAAAAGAGAAAACGATGTTGTGTGACCTCCAACATGTTAACATTGCATCGGGTCGACCCGCGCAGCTGCGTGTGACATGTTTTTCTCACTGTAGAAGAATCAAAATGAATCAACTGACGGGTCTACCAGTGAGTTGACAACCATAATCATATATCCACCATCTGTGATCGAGCCATTGAGGTCGTTTGAAAAGGAAAATGTATTCTTATAGATTATGTCTCCAAAATTGGGTTTCAAAATAAAGACCAAATACAAGTTCTCTCTAAATTTGGAGACCGGGGATGTGTACTACACGATTCTTACTGTCTAATTAAGTATTTGGATATTTGTAAATTTTCTTTTTTATTTGGAGATGCACCGTAAAGCACAAGTAGTGTGTAACTGTGTATAACTAGTATATATTTAGAGTTTTTATCAGACATTGATATATATATTTTTTATAACTTAAAAAACACCTCTCGGGTAACTCGAACCTGAGTCCTCGGGCTCACATGCCACAACAAACACAATGAAGCGCTTAACCACTCGAGCTAGCTACGCCGTGTTTCTTGCAATAAAAAAAAAGAATGTTGCTACCCAGGATCGAACTGGAGACCTTTTGCGTGTAAAGCAAACGTGATAACCACTACACCATAGCAACATTATTGATGGTTCAACTTCAATTCCAATACAAGTAGACCAACAGTATATATCTGATAGGATGGATAATTCTTAGTTATGCATAAATTTATGATTCCCTAAAAAAAATGCATAAATTTATGATCAAATTCAGGCTTTTAGTTTTGAGTGAGCCGGATATAAAGAATGAGATGAAAATGTATTTTTATTTTTCTATTTTTTTCTAATTGGCTTAATATCTTTTTTGTTTTCATTTTGATTTCAAAATTTTGTGCATGGATGAAGTGAGTTTGTTTTTATGTACAAAATGATATTCGTTTTTTTATACTTCAATAAAAAAATTTCTACCACTCATTACAACTCTGATACCATATGGTACCACTATATATGTATCACCTTCGTAGTTCACTCGAATTTTGGATTTTTTTTAAATGAATAAGTTCGTCATGATCTATTGTATATATATATATATATATGGCGAGTTCTACGGTACCCTGGGTGAAATCCGGGGTACCGCATACCTTGAGTATGAAAACACTATCTAGATCTTGAATTGACCGATCTTTCGGACATGATACTATACTCTAACACTTAAAGATCAAAATCTAGGTGTTAACTCTCCCAATCTTATACTCCAAGATCAATTTAATTAGAAATAATAATCGACGGTTATGATTCATCCAAATATAGGCACAAAAAGGAATGCACCATCTTAGGGTTTATAGATTATGATTTAGATAATTATGACCTAGGGTTCACTCATTAAGGGTTAGGGTATAATATCAGACACAAAAATCCTGGTAATTCGAGGTCTAGATAGAGTTTCCATACTCGAGGTATGCGGTACCCCGGATTTCACCCAGGGTACCATAGAAGCCACCATATATATATATATATATATATATATATATATATATATCGCAAAGGCTAGCGTACGTCAGTCGTACGCTGTACGCCTGTGTTCACACTTGGTTTTTGCACTTTAATATATTTTGCTGAATCGGAACCGTCGGTTATTATTTTTTAGATTAAATGAATCTCGTGGCATGGGTTAGAGAATTAGGGACTGGGGTTTATCCATTAGAGGTTAGGGTATAGTATCATGCCGAAAATTTCGGTTAAAACCTACTCTAAATAGTAAAACTTGACTGGCGTACAATGTACGACTGACGTACGCTAGCCTGAACCATATATATATATATATATATATACAATTTATGAGGGGGAAATTCATGTGCAAAGCCAGTTATAGGGTGGTAAATGGTAGTATATGGTGATGAAAAGTGGTAAATGACAAGTAGTATATTTCTACTATCCTGTCTACAACCATTCTAAAATACTAGAATATATGACACAAATGTCACGAAACGCTTATAGTTTGTGCAAGATTTGTCATATTGAATAGTTTAGTACACAAATGCACTTTTAGGATGGTTTGGGATTCCTAGTGGAATTAGCCTTAATTTTAATGTTCTATATCTCTTTCTTTTAAATTGTTTTGCACATGCAAAAAATATTCATTGTGATAGCGAAATGACACTCACTTTGATATATTTTAGAACAATAAAATTGAATGATTTTTTACCAGCCAATCATGGTGGGAATGATAGATAGTACATAACATTATGCCGTGTGGTATGAAAGTTTACCACTGGTATGAATATACCATAGTGTAGAATGGTTGTATACATGAAAGTAGAAATGTACTAACTATCATTTACCACCTTTCATCACTGTCTACCACCAGTTACCACCCTATAACAGGGTGGTATACATATTAAAGCTGAATTCACTCCCCCCTCCTGAAATTTAATAAATCACGATGAACATATTCAAGGAAAACGAAGGTGTATAAGGGTGGCACGGAAAAAATCTCGAAATATTTTGAATATAGATATCATTTTGTAGATCACAGATAAATCGTTCCATCTGTGCAAAATTATTTGAAATCTAAGTTTAAACAAGGAACATAAACTAAAAGTAGGAAAAATAAAAAAAGTAAACACTTTTCAATCTCACATAACTTAGATGTTAGCCACTTAAAATCAAGAGCTCAAATCTGGTTATGCAAATGTACATAACCATGAGTTATACACCCTATGTTAGACTTCAAAGAGTACATTCCACCCAACCAAAACCGGAATACTGCACTTAGGGGCCGTTTGGAGAATAAGATTTAGGGCGTGGATTCATTGAATCCGTAGATTTGATAGAGGTGGAATATTTGGATTTTCCATTGGTTTGTCCTTTGTGCTAGATACTTGGTCATGACTGTGAAGCTCTATCTAGGAGTAATAAGCATTGGGTTACGTTCCTAAGAGAAAAGAAGTTCACGGTGAAAATGTTAAAGGTGTTGGTAGGGAAATTGTGAAAAATGACACAGTCTTGAAGACAGAGAAGGTAGTAAGTAAGACTGTAGGAGTTTGGAAGGGCACAAATAAAGAAAAAGGAAGTGCAAGTGACTGAGAATATCCTGGATAGTTCTCCAACTAATGGGAATGCAGTTCAGAGTTTTACATCTGTGGTTTGTGTGTCATAAATTCCAAGAATTGGGAGCCTAGAGACCTAATTGCAAATGATTGTTGGGGGTGGATCATCGGCTGCTATCATCAGGATTCTATCTTCATTCTAGTTTTTAAATCAGAACAATTGGTTAGAGGGGTTCAGGAACTTATAAATTTGCTCCTTTGGAAGTGGTGGAAGTTGAAGATCCTGAACCCTCTCAAGTGATGGATCTAGCTCCCCAATGGCTCCTCAGAGTGGCAGGAAGAGAGGAGGTCATGGTTGTGGGGGAGGGGGTTGCAAATGAAGTTACTTTTGTGGAATACTAGAGGCATTAAGGCCTAAAAAAAGGTATTGTTGTCCATACTTTGATATATATAAGCATACCAGGATACTGAAAAGTTGGTAAATAAAGTTTTTCAGACTATGAGTATACAATTTCTTAAAATGCAAAAGGGTTGGGTAAGATATGGTTAGTATGGAGGAAGGATATCCCGTTAAGAATCTTGCAAAAGGAAGAGAAATATATTCATGTGTTGGTTGCAGGGCTTCTTTTTTATAAATAGTCATGTATGGATCTATTATAGACTCTCAAAGAAGTTAGTTACATAGGGAAATTAGAAAGAGGAAGGAGGATGACATTCCCGGATAGTGTTGGCAGATTTTAATGTTATAGGGATCCCCATGAAGCTTCAAACAGTCCCGAAATCGCTAGCCCTATGATAGAATTGAGTGATTGGCTTGACGAAATTGAAAAGGAGGAACATAAAACTGAGGGTCCGTGGTCTACTTTGCTAAATAGGCAATCTAGAAATCCTATTACTCGACGATCGGATAGAGTTTTTGTTTATATGAAGTGGATTGAGGCAGTGGTTGACAGTGAAGTTAAATATGAAGTGGATTGTTGGAGTTTGGAGTTTTTTTTTATCATTTCTCTATATTTTTTAACACATATGAAGTTGAAAATGTAACCAAAGTTTTTCAATTTCCTTGAATTAATTTTGGCAATTCCATACACAGTTTTTAGACTTGGTAGTTCCATAGATCGGTAAAGGCGAGGCAGGTAGGAACACAATCAGATTTCTCAGGGATGAGGCAGGGAAGAGGGTTACTGACGTGAGAGAAATGTCTGAAGTGGTGATTTATTTCTATGAGAAGCTGCTAGGGGTTCAAAACAAAGAAGTTTGCTCAGAAACTGTGGGTTCTTACAAGTCCCTTCTGAATAAGAAGATGCCAGTGGGTATGTTTGCTAGTTTATGTACACCTATGACTGAAGAGGAGGTTATGAAGATGATGTTTGATCTTCCAAGGGATAAGAGCACGTGGCCATATGGGGTTTCGACCTTCTTCTCTCACT